CAGGACGCTGGTGCTCGCCGCGCCAGGTTGCTGCCGGTTACAAACACGACCGCTGCAGCCCTCCTCTCGCGCTGCCGCAAGCGAGAAGCGGACGCGAGCAACAGGAATCTCTCAGATGGGAAAAGGGAGGGAATACTGGAGTTAGAAAATGCCTAACGAGTCGAGTCAGTCAAGAGGAAATGTTATCCCTGCTGAGAGAAGGAGAACGCTGAAGGATGTATTATTTTTTCCATTTTATCCGACAGCTGACTATGCACATATAGCTGTGTGTGGGTCCCGAAACATTCTGGAAAGCAGCCACACATTTGAGAGTTTGCAGATGTTACTTTGGCTGAGCACTAAACATTTCTTGTGAAATTTCCGCTCTGAGCCCCAAAAAAACCCCAAACCCCACATACTTATGGGAAACGTTTTCAGCCACAAGACCTTGCCAATTCTGTTCATGATGTTGGCACGAGCCAACGCTTGGGAACTCCCTGCGGCTGGGTCCTCCTCCCCCGCTTGGGAACTCCCTGCGGCTGGTTACTCCTGCCTGCTTCGCAGGCCAGCAGCAGGCTCCCTTCCCGAAACACCACGGAGGGCACAGTACCTGTCCCAATATACTCTTCTTCTCTTCCCTGTTCTAGTTCTGCACTGGGTACAACGTCACCGAGGACTATGACTCCAACACCACCATCGACTACACCATGTTCGAGACCCTGTGTGAGAAGGAGGAAGTCCGTAACTTCCGCGCTGCCTTCCTCCCAGCCATGTACTCCCTCATCTGCTTCACAGGGCTGCTGGGGAACGGGCTGGTGATGCTCACCTACATCTACTTCAAGAGGCTCAAGACCATGACGGACATCTATTTGCTGAACCTTTTTCATCCTCTTCCGGCTGACCCTCCCCTTTTGGGCCACAAGTGCAGCCATGCACTGGCTGTTTGGGGAGTTTGCCTGCAAAGCTGTCTATTGCATCTGCAAAATGAGTTTCTTCAGCGGGATGCTGCTCCTCCTGTCCATCAGCATTGACAGGTACTTTGCCATCGTTCAGGCTGCCTCAGCCCACCGCTTCCGTCCCCGGATGATATTCATTAGCAAGGTCACTTGCATCCTCATTTGGTTCCTGGCCTTCATCCTCTCAATCCCTGAGCTGGTTCACAGTGGTGTAAGTGGCTCAGACAGCCATCCCCGTTGTTCCATCATCACTAATGACTTGCAGACCTTCAACACTGGCATCAAAGTGTCCCAAATGGTTTTTGGCTTCTTATTTCCCCTACTGGTCATGTCCGTCTGCTACCTCATCATCATCAAAACATTACTCCAGGCCCGCAACTTTGAGAAGAATAAAGCCATCAAGGTCATCATTGCCGTGGTAATTGTCTTCGTTGTCTTCCAGCTGCCCTACAACAGCGTCATGCTGGCCAAGACCATCTCAGCCTTCAACCACACCAGCTCGTGCGAGGAGAGCAAGAAGCTTGACATGGCAGATGACGTGACCTACACTCTGGCCTGCTTCCGATGCTGCCTCAATCCTTTCCTCTACGCCTTCATCGGCGTCAAATTCCGCAACGACCTCTTCAAGCTTCTGAAGGAGCTGGGCTGCCTGAGCCAGGAGCGCCTCTGGCAGCTGTCCACTTGCCGCGAGAGCAAGAGGTTTTCCTTTGCCATGGAGACAGAGACAACCACCACCTTCTCCCCATGAGCCGAGCTCCAGGCAGTCTTTGACCAAGCAGAAGGCCGGAGCAGTTTTGTACACTTCTGATTACTGGTAGAGCGAGACCTGCCACTACCCTAGGAAAGGCAGCTGTAAGAGGAAAACCCAGGACCCCCCCCATATTTCAGGCAACGAGCACTGCTAGCCAATACTCCTGTGGATAGAGAGACTTCAATAAAGCTGTGACTAATAGCAAAGCAAAGGAGAGGGAGACCAGTGAGTCTAGAATTAATCACGCCATTTCACCTTTATTTTAGTCTTTCCTATCAAAATAAGAAACGCTCAAAGTAGAACATTTTCCTTAAAAGCAACAAGCAGCAGGAGAAGCAGACATTTGTGCGACAGAATTGCTTGGTTTAGACCAAGCAACTTCCAGGAGCATCATCCTTGCTTTGAATGTTGCTTTTAACAAGACTACCTGTTGCTCTTCCACACCTACAAAAATTATGCCCGTTGCACTGACTCGGTCTTCAAGACAAAACAGCACCATCAGCCTCAAGCTCCAATCTTACTTCACAGCTTATATTGTGTATTGAATTATCCTAGCACACAACTCTCTGCTCTGCCTTCCCCTATGAAAAGTGAGAAATTTCCATAACTAATACTAAATCATACATGAGATACATAATTTCAATAACTGTGTACTATTGTGGCACCTGTTCGTTTGTCAGGAAAAGTGCAAATTCCACTTTGCTTCTGCCTGTAGCAACAATTTCGGGTGTTTCACCTATAAAGGCAGCACAACCTAAGGAGCACAAGTTCTTGCATCCCAACATTGACTTGAATTCTTTAGAAATGCTGCTCCACTCTGGAAAGAAAGTCTCCTCTAGCTTCTGAAAGGGCATCTACCTGCACAAGGCTGATGCGGGGGTTAGATACCACAGTTCAGATTCAAACTTTTTGCACAAGGACAAATTAGTCACAAGCTCAAAAAAAAACTAAACCGATGTCTTTCCAATTGCCAAGCATACAAACTGAAAACCAGATACTTCTGCACCAATCCAGCCAGGTGCTTTAAAATATATTTTTACTACTCAGCCATCCAGCCTGTCCCAATGTCATCCTTACTCCTGACGTGCTGAGGGACTGTTTAGTCACTCGCTTGATATAATGCATGTGTTTTAGTGGACTGGTGCCAGAATCCTCAGAATTTTAAAGATTCAAGCCCAGGGCAAATCCATATGCATTTCTTCAGGCAAAATGCTCAAATTCATGATATAGCTGTGCACTTCAGTCTGCCAGTATCTGAAGCTTGCTTGTACCTAGCTTTATCAGCTGCTGCGGACACAGTCTGCTGATTTTCACATACGCGTGGGGGCCTTCTGCGCTATTGCTTGCTGACCTCAGAAGGTAAACAAGAATGTGGGTTTTCTTCTCCCTTAACAATCAACATGCCCTTCTAGAAGGACTTTAGCAGCTGGCTTTTGAGTCAGATATGTATTTCACTTATAAGCTATTGAAAAAGTGTTTTGTATTCATACTGTCACTGCTAATAAAGATGCCATTCACTGTGGTTTGATTTAAATGCAAAGTACAGTCACATGTTGAAGACTACTGCCAGGGTCCCATACTTGAAAGGAACATGGCAGCTGAACAACAGATTATTGTCATGTAAAACAAGACCTTAAAAAGAAGCCCAGAATGTAATGCCAGTTGGTGCATTTACTAGAAGAGTGAAGATTCCTACTGACAGATGAATACCCTGGGAACTGCTGTCACGGGACATCTGAATGTCAACCGGGGAGGAGTTGCTGCAATCGTTTGTGCGTCTGTTAGTGACTTGCATGCTCTAATCCCCACAGCGCACAGCTCTCCCCAGAGCCAGGCGTCAACGGCGAAAGGTCTTGGCCAGGAACCGCTCTCGGTGCTGGGCAGGAGCAGGCTAACTCAACAGAGGTGCCTCCCCCTCCAGAGCAGCAGTCGAACAGTTTTGTGGAAACTGGAAGGCATGTTCCAGTGGACGTACAGAGCCATGCAGAGCAGAACACGCTTACTAAAAAAACGTTTATACTTTTTTTGATACCACACATGGATCCATTAGGAGTGATGCAGGGAACTCTCTGGATCACAGGTCGAAAAAACATTGCTTTAGAGGCATGAGAATTAAAATCAACCTTCCAAGGAAAGAACTCAATTAGCTGGTTTTGAGACGATGTTGCCAGTTATATAGCTGGCTGCCATCATAATTAAATAAATTCTTCTTCATAAACCACTTGGCTGTGAGGTACAGGATTTTGCCAAGAGCTGGGATTCAGGAAGAAAGCACATTCTGCTCTGCATTACCTGTCTATGCCATTTAACACAATTGCTTTTCTAATGCTCATGTAACATGTACAGAAGTGCTGCTTCTCCGTCGTATGAAATCGGGGGTTACAACTGACACTGAACAGTCATTTGTTCTTGGTTTGTTCCTACAGTCCTTACTCAGGCAAGGCACTCGGCTAACGAGAACTTTGCCAGAGTGAGGAATACCCATAATACAGGGTCTTTTTCCTTTTCTTCATCAGTAACAATATATTCTTAACGTATAGTGATATACGTAAAGCTGCTTTACACAGAAAAAGTTAAACATGTACGTGAATGTACCCTGAAAATACACTGCTTTAACTAAAACTTTGTATGCAAAATACATTTACCTAACTTATTCTAGCGAGGAAAATTGCTTCACCAAAACATGCAAGCGTACTGGTGTCCTATTTGATAAAAGCCAATCATCTTCTACAAACTGAGAAGTCTTCAGGCCTTTATTGACTAGATGTATTCGAAATAGGAAAACACGCAGCTGCTTCTATACGAATGAGATACTAACAGCACCATCTGGGACAGCTGCGTCTGGTGCCTCCTCGACAAGACAGCAGTGACTTCAGAGTGCGTGGCTTTTTTTTTTTTTTTTAATTTAATGGACAGAAAAAAATCTGCCACTTATTTAGATGAATCATGTTAACATTGGCCTAAGATCCAAACTTGAGATTCCCCACTGAAGTCTGAAAACTGACTGTATTATGCTATTTGTGGAAAATAAATTACAATTTTAAAAAATACCTTTGTTTTTACACTGTATTTCCTCCATAGGATGTATCTTACATGTACCATAATACTTCATATCATATCCTTCTGGTCCTGTCAAGAGTTGTGCCAAAAGTGCCAAAACTAAGAACCATTTCTCCTTTCCCTAAGCAATGCACGCTTCTCATGATTTCTCCCTAGAGAGAAAGTATTAGGCTAGTTTCAGCATCCGGGCCAGAGGTTCAAGCAGCGATAAGGAGCATCTCAAGACCACAGCACCACAACACAACTCCAGACAGTAACAGTCTAAACCCAAGGCTCCTTAAATAAGCATTAGGTCTTGCTTACCACAACTAGGGCAGAAGTCTCAACTGCACTGAGTCCAAGGAGCTCATTTGTGCAAGAGATGCAGCCTGCTGCAACAGGAGCTCTAAACGAGAGCACAGAAAATATGAAACAGAACTAGGGATTTGCAGAACTAGGGATTTGCAGAAAGCT